TGGTTAATCGGTTAAGGTTCATTTTGTTGTGATGGTTATGTTGGATAAGTAGTTATGTGGCAATTGACAATGAGTTAATGAGTTAATGAATTGAAGAGTTAAATTGTGATTGCAATTACTAGTTAATGTGTCAATGTATCTTTTTTAAATATGATATTTAAGAAATGGTTAAGAATTAACATTGTAATATATTCTTATGTTTCAGATTGATGGAGGATTTCAATATCATTCTAGAAAAATTTTCTTTTGAAGAAAATCAAGAAGTACGAGCTTCTTAAAATGTTATAGAGCCCCCTAACGACACATTTAATGAGGAGGGGACACTAACTAAAAAGCAGCGAAGGATGACTTTAGCTATTTAGGGCCATTTTGAGATGTTGCCTAATATGAAAGATGGAAAACACAAATATAAATGTAAGAAATATGGAAATACTTACTTATGTGATAATTACAATGAAACTAGTAATCTAAGGTGCCACATTCAAAATTGCAAGAAAAATATATGTATGATTTAGGATAGTTGATCTTACAAACCAATTCTAATTCTTCCATATTTATGTCCGATAATAAGTTTGATAATGTAAAATTTTATGATTTGTTCACTACATCTATCATTATGCACGATTTAGCCTTTCAATGTGTTGAGTAGGTTGGAGTTCAAGGACTCTTGATATATCTTTGTTGGGACTTACAATTAAGTTTTAGGAATACTACTAGAAATGATTGTAAAAAGTATTCACTAAGGAGAATTGTAATATAGAGGAACAGTTATCCAAAATTACTAACAGGGTTTGCTTAACTTCATATCTATAGACTTCTATAAATATTGATGGGTTTATTTATTTAACATTTCATTTTATTGATAATAAGTGGCACTTGCAAGATAAAATTATTATTTTTTCTTTCATGCCACCCCTCCCATGATGAAATTGCTTTATTTAAGAAATTGTAGTATCTTTTGGTTGAATGGAAATTAGAGTCAAAAGTTTTCATTATTACTTGGGATAATACTTCTTCAAATAATATTTCAGCTGATTATATAAGGAATCATCTAAATTTAAATGGTGGCTTGTTGTGTGATGGTGATTTTTTTTATGTATGTTGTGCAACCTTTTTTTTATGTCTGTTGTACAACCTATATTATAAATCTTGTGGTTCAAGAAGGTTTGAAAGAGAATGATGGTTCAATAGTAAAAATAAGAGAACATAAGTATGCCAAAGGCTCTCAGGTAAGGAAACAAAAATTTTCTTGATTGTGTAATAAAAAGTTGCCTAGATGGGAAAATAAGTTTGTGTTAGGATTTCCTACTAGATGGTACTTCACCTTCATTATGTCATTATGCTTAACAGTGCTGTCTATTTTTGTTGTGCTCTTAAACATTTAAAACTGATTGATTCAAATTATAAGAACTGTCCAACACCTCCTAAATGTGAGAAAGTTGAAGCTATTTGCAAATTTTGGGCTATATTCTATGAAATAACTTATCTCATTTATGGGTCAAGGTACCCAATAGCAAATGTGTACTTTCCATATATTTTTACAGCATATGTAAAACTGAAAAATGAAATGTTAAATAACCATCAATCACTACAGGAAAATCACTTAAGCAGTCAAAAACCGCCGGAAATCCGTCGGAAAGCCGCCGGAAAACTGAACGCCGGAAAGCCGCCGGAAAATTTCGCCGGTAATAAGTGATTTTCCTGTAGTGAATATATAAAGAAAATGACAATATGGATGATTGCCAAATTTAAGAAATAATGGTCATATTTCATTGATATATTGACAATAGCTGTCATTTTGGATTCGAGATACAAAATAACTTTCGATTAGTGGTGCTCAGAGTTGTATGGTGGGGATTACCTATTTTAATTAAGAAAGTTGAAACTTAAGTTGATCTCCCTGTTTTGTAACTACAATTCAAGAGGGAATGGTTCATTAGGGCAACATTCACTTTCATCTGTGATGGTACAAGGTATTGCTTCAAAGAGTACATCATCACTAATGATTAAGTCATAATTTTGATAGGTTGTACTTTATTTATAACTGTTAAGTTGCAACTTTATTGGTCTTTTTTTAAGAGTTCTAAAGACTAAAAAAAAAGGATTTTGATTCATTTCAGCAAGAGATAATAATGCCTAGGAAATCAGAATTAGATATTTATCTTGAAGCACTAAAGCTTGATAGGAATGTTGATTTAGATATTTTGAAATTTTGGCAAGGGAACCAATAAAGATTTTCTGGTATTTCTTCTATGTCTCGTGATGTACTATGCATTCTAATTACAACAGTAGCATCTGAAAGTTACTTCACCAATAGTGGTAGAATTCTAGATCAATATTAAAGTGTATTGAAACATGATATTATTGAGGCACTAGTTTGTTCAAAGGATTGGTTATATAGAGAACATGATAATTTCTCTATCATATTCAATCACATTTACATTTCTATAATATTCTTGAGAGCTCATATCTATTTTTTTTTCATTGCAGCAGCAAATGACCCCGAAGTTGATGCTTTAACTCAGTTTGGATATTAACACAAGTGATAGAGAGCATGGTGAAAGTTTAATTATTGGATCATTTAATTTGGCTAAGACTTTGAGATATGAACTCCCTAATATAATATTTGTCATGCATATTATGTATTTCCTTCTAAAACCTGTAATGGTTAGTAGCCTAATGGTTATTTAGTTGGTTGTTAAGTGTTTGTTTAGTGTTGGGTTAATCGGCAACCTCTTTTATGAGTTTGGGCTTTGTTGTTATTATAACATGATATTTTGTATATTTGTTGATTTGTTGTTCTGAATTTTGATGACTTGGTTGCTAACCTACTATTTTTTATGTGGCTTTTGATACATCTGGTTTGGTGGGTGGCTAGATGCCTATATCGATTGGATATTTGGTTTCTATTCTGATTATTGTAAGCTGTTGGCTACTGCCATGAATTAGTTGTGGTTTACTAGTTTTAATATTTTATAAAGCAATGATGATAAACCTACTAAAATAAAAGCGTGAATCATATCAATGTAAGTGCTATTATAATCATGTGCCAATTGTATTCTCTTAGAATGACCAGATATTATCTAATAAAATTAACAAATACTAAGTCAATATAAACTATCGACTTGGATGGTAATATACTAAAATTTATTACACTTACAATTTATTATATGATTAATGATTTGGAGGGTTTAATCTGAGCTGTGTATTGAAGTTTTCTACATATTCAACAAGTTTTCCTTCAGTTAAATATATATGAAGATTGAAGATATATTCCTGAAGCACTTTTTTGGAAGAGCAATTGGGCAAATCATCAAAGTATAATTTATAGTTTTCATAGACATGTTTGTTGTAAATTCTTTTGTAATTTGTATTTTATAAACTGATTTGGAATTGGTTGTGAGCAGCAAAGTCTAATTTATAGTTTCCTTAGTCATATTTGTTGCAAACTCTTTTGTACTTTGTATTTTGTAGATCTCGAGCTCGAGCTCGAGCTCGAGCTCATTAAGGACTAAACGAGCCAGGCTTGATAAGGCAAATACTCGACTCGACTCGACTCGTTTACACCCCTAGTTGTGAGCAACAAAGTGTAATTTATAACTTTTTTTTTATTTTAATTTCCAAATGAACAAAAAGAAAAAAAAAACTTGTTTTCTGATTTCATTGCCAAAATTGAGTTTCATTTGAATGTTGTGGGCCAAATTGATTTTTGTAAAATGCTCTTCATTTCCAAAATCACAGGAACAAAAAAAAAAAAAAACTTATTTTTCTTCAAATCCGAGTTGATGGGTTGTGTCGGGGTTACTTGGATCCATAGCGGGTCGGTTTGGGTCCGACAAAATGACCTGTTTCTACAAACGGGTCGAGTTCAGATTGGGTCTAACGTCTGCTTGGTCAATTCCATGTTGGACCCGAAACATACACGTGACCCAATTTTGACAAGCCTACAAAATACAACAACTTCGGAGATGGTGAAGGGTTTCAACATAATATGCTTGTTTTAGGGGCATTGTATTTCAAATTCATAAAAAAAATCACTCTTTTTAAGTGTTGTAGATTCACTATAAAATATTTTACCTTTATTTCTGTTAATCTTTAAAAAATTAACTAATTTAAGGTTCATTTAACTTTTTTTATTATTTTTTTAAAATAATTTTTTGTACAAAAATATTGACTCAAAATTTTTTCTAATAAAAATTTGCTTTAAAAAATAATAAAAAAGCTTCCCCAAATCAAGCCTTAACTTTAAAATATTTATATTCGCAAACGATGAATTAAAAAGTCATTTCATTACTTAATACACTCATATTCTTTAAACACTTTCCCCCCACGCAACAACTCATGCATCGACCAATCAATATTAAGTAAATATACATAAGTTATTCATCACCATAACAAAACCCATGAAGGAATTAATGTCTGCTGCAAAGTATAATATAATATTTCTCTTAGGAGTTGTTTGGTTTGAAATTAAGTGTGTGTAAAATATTTCAAATATAGAGATTTTGAAATATTGATGTTTGGTTAGATGAAAAAGAATTGATGCAAAATTTTGGCCCGATGTTTTTCACTTTTTAATTCATTTTTTACGATTTATAAACTGGGCCTGTTATGTATGAATTCCAAATTCAACGCAAGTGTACTGTTTTGTTGCTGCCGGCCATCATCACCACACGCCAACATTAGCCAGTACTTTTTGCCGTTTGTTGCTAACTGCTGCCGAGCACCACTCACCACCGCCCGATGGCTACAGCAACCACCACCTGAGGCAGCTGATTGCACCATTCGTTGACACTGATGGTCATCGGATGTCGCCACTGCTACCACCATTATTGTCAACTACCAACCACCGTAGTGTTTGAACTTTGCACTATATTTATTTTTATTTGATCCAAATATAAATAATAATCACATGTATTTATTTCTATTCAAATATATATATTTTTTTTACTTAAAAAAAAAAAACTTCCTATAATTCCAAATATTTTATTTTACAGTCCTAAACAAATAAGTGAAAATTTTTACATCAAGATAATTTAACGGTCGGGCTATGCCCATAATTTCCCAAAAAAAAAAAAATTTTTGAACGGTCTTTAAATTTACATTAAAATAACGAACGCTATATATCACAATTTTTTCAAATCCAACGACTATTAAGCACACAGCAATTTTTTTTTTAAATAACTTAATAATCCTCCTCCGGCGAAGTCGCCGGCGGATACCCAATACCATGACGCTGATTCGGAAACGCCACAAAAACCGTACTCACCATCCCGCCCACCACCGTCGGCAACACTTTCACCAGCACCGCCTCCTCCGCCTCCGCAGCCGGGTAAAAACACCTCACCGTGTCCGCATCCAGCAACGCAACCACCGCAAACACGACAACCGACAGAACCGCGTGCACAAAGTCGCCTGCTCTCAACTTATACTTTGACAAATCCCTCCCGGCCGCGTCCGGGTCGGAGAAAGTCCATAACCCGGTCCTCGTCGCGATCCCATAGTAAACCCGCCCGTCGGATCCCACGTAGCTGTCAGTGAAGGTGGAAAAACAGCAGAAGAAGCCGCAAATGGCTAGGAGAGCGCCGGAGAGGTATTTGTTGACGGTGCTGCAGTGACCGTTGTTGGTGACGAGGGGATTGAGGAACTGGAATAGGAAGACTGTGCCGCTTGGTAGGAGCTTGATGAGGTCGCCGAGACTTTTGAAGGCTCTGTCGCTGAAGCTTAAGGCTTTCTGCTGTTTTCTTATGAGAGCAGCCATTGCTATTGGCTTTGATCTTTTAGTTGGGAGTGAGGATGTTCGATCGATCAAATGTTATATTTATAGGCCGTAAAGAATGTCTTGATTGTTATTGTCTAAAATAAATAAAAAAAACTTGTAAAAAAGTTAAAAAAACAGCGATGCAGCGTTAAAAAAATTAAAAATTTATATTAAAGTTATTTAATGATTCTCCTTGAGCTAAAGTTTCATCGTGTTGGAGGAGGAGAACATTGCTTGCACGTAGGTTAAGAAGGTTTTATTGAGTTAATAAGTACTTCGCTTGCACTCTTCTCGGCAGCTGAGATGGTTCTTTCTTGTAAGCCAAAGCTTTGCCATGCAAGAAGGATGAAGAAGGATAGCTGTTAGGTTGAAGGACCTATTTGGGGCAGCTTTCTAATTCATTTATTTTTTAGATCGGTAGGATTCAATGGAGATGAATAATAATTTGATTGCCTCTAAATTATATCAGAAGCGTATTTTAATTAATTGAAATGCAGAATTGAGGTTTTAGTCTTTCACGTTTGAAGCAGCGTTCTCCAAAAGAACGAGAGACACTTCTTTTCACTCAAGATGAGAAATGAGAATTTAACTGCTTAAATTGGGGATCATGACCATTTTTTATTTTAAATGTATTTATTTTATTTCAACCCATCATTAAAATAAAATATATAATTAATCTATACACAATATTTAATTCCATACAAATTTAATTGAGATGACATATAAGCCCAAACATAATTTAACTTTTAAATAGATCATGAATTTAATTGGCTTAATTTTAGATAGCAACTAATGCATAATAATTAATTTATATGTATAAACATATGGACCCACATATAAATGTTTCTTAATAATCTCTCACTTGGGCCACATATATATGTACATGTAATTATATATTATTAAATAACCGTAATAGCTCAATATTTATTATTTTTATAAAATAACATCTTTAGATAATCTGATTCATCAATCATATCAATATAGAATCAAAACGAACTTTGTTACTTTTTTTGAAACAAGACCCATCAATGGTCACTTTTTTTTTTTTTTTTACCCATCAATGGTCACTATATTAATATAATTAAATGCATAAATCAAGTATGAATATGTAGCATGAAAGTTTCATGTAATGCAATATCAAAGTATGACTATTTTCAACTTGTATACTATTATAACTCAAAAGAGTTATCACCAAAGATTTAGTATTGTATGCTAAACTTTAAAATTAAGTAACTTTATTATCAAAATTTATCTTTAATAATCTATCATTGCATCAACATGTAGCCATGTGATAAAATTTTGTCAACCATATTCTTTGATTTGATGTCTCTTAATAAGTTATAAACTCTTCTTCCATTATAGAAGTAGCTATAAATGATTGTTTGACACTTTTTCATGATATATCTCCTCATATAACATGAAAATATAGTCTGAAGTAGATATCCTGTTCTTGAGACAACCAGCAAAATTAGACTCGGAATACCCCACGATCTATAAATGATCATATATCTGATACGAGAGTATGGAATCTCTTGTCCTTTTAAGATACCTCAAAAACCATTTCATTGCTTTTTTTTTAGTTGAAACCCACATAGGGCCTACGTGCTAAATTCAAAATTCGATTACAAAGTCCTTAGAAGGACCCACCAGCTCACTACTGCTCCGGAGAGCTACAATCAAAAGGAAAAATAAAAAACCTAAGAGCCGGTGTTTCCTTTGCCTACAGTTACAAAAATAACATAAATAAGGACAAGGGCTGAGAGAGATCAGCACGCAAAAAAGGAAGATCCGAATAATATCGTTCCGTTCAGTCTTCCTGCGCAAAAAAAGAGACACAACAAACGAGAAAAGTTGCAAGAAAGAGAGAAAAAGAAACTCACAGTAGATATAATTCCCCGAAAGGCCGTTAAATTGTAATCTGCAATAGAGTCTCCAAAAAAACACATTAAAAAGAAACCAGTTCATATGATAGAGAAGGTGATATGAAGTTTTACTGATTTCCTTGAACCAGGGATATAAACAGATGTCAAGACCGAGCCGCAGGTTAATCATATGATCAATATTGGCCCAAATACAAGAAAAACAATACTCAAACTCATAGCAGAAAATCGAAATAGAAGATAAGAGAAGTAAATACCAGCAACAAACCTGGATCGATTTCTTCTTACGCCCCCAGAAATTAACCTTAACAAAATTAGAGCTCTTAAAAATGAAAGAGCAGGGCAGATACAAAATGGCATGACTCTTGGATGTGTAGAAAAAAAAACTGACCATCCAGGTAGAAATGAAAACACAGACAGGAAATAGGACCACCAATAGAGGAACCCGCGATATTCTTTAAAATCCGAGGAGAGACGTTCTGACCACTCAAAAACCAGAACAAAATACCCACAAGGAGATAAGAAAAATAGTACAGGTAAGTTAAGATTCTCCCAAAAGCCTTAGAAAAAAAAAAGAAAACATTCGCAGATACCTACCACAGCCAACCAGACCAATCCAGTGAACAACAGAAAGATGCAACAGAAAAGATGAACATAGAAATTACACATGTCTAATATAGGGTAAAGCAGCTTTATCAAGGGTAATCATACCTTTAAGCACTGGATGCTAAAAATTGATGTTCAATTCTTGATAATTATCCAAGATACACCCTAAATTGGCCGGCCAATCCGCACAAGAATTAGCCTCACGGTAAATATGAGAAATGGAATAGTTAATAGTAGACAAAGATTTCTTAATTTTTCTAATCAGGTAAAAATTCTGAGGATTACCCAACACAACATTGTTGATAATTTGAAACATAAGTTGGGCATCCACCTCAATCCAAATATTGTTACAACCCATATTAGAACAAATATCAATACCATACGACAATGTGTTAAGCTCTGCAGTAATAACTGTTGACCTCATTTTTGTATGAGGTCACCTGGACCAGTCCTGACCCCAGATCAATTTAATCTCTAGATCAATTCAAACTCTAGAATCCTCCTAGAATCCTGACCTTAGGATTTATTCTAGATCCTAGGATCAATCTAGACCCCGGACCCTAGGATCTACCTTGACCTTAGGATTCTCCCAAATCAATCTAAACCCTAGGATTCTCTTAGATCTAGACCTTAGGATCTATTCTAGATCCTATGATCCTTATAGAATCTAATTTTAGAATCTATTCTAGGTCCTAAGATTTTTATAGACTTCAGATCAATTCAAACTTCAAACCAATCCTGACCTTAAACCAACCTAGATCTCAATTCAAATCAAACCTCAATCAAAATCCAGACTCCACTCCAGTTCAAGATCTTAATCTCCAGTTTAAAATCTTGATCTTGTTTTTGATCAAACATCAACCTTATACAATCAATTATGATCCTCCAAATGATCATAAATGATTTAGATAACTCAAACTTAATTAATCAAACTCAAAATCCAGATCAAATCCAAAATCCAGACTCAAATCCAATGCTAAAAGGCCAAGTCCTAAAAACCTTTTTCAGCAAAATTTCAAACACTTTGAAACCCAGTTAAATGACCTCC